TCAATCTGAAATTCACTGGAAACAACAGAAATTCTCAAAGGCCTAGAGAGTAAAAGCACATCTGTCTTGGCCAGTAAAATAATTTGGTGTTGAATGAAGCACAAGCTTAAATAGCAAAAAGATGTAGATATACATGTAAATAAAATATGTTTACCCACAAAGATCTACAGAATCATTTCAATAAAATGTTCAGCAGAAGGTATAGGAATAATTTAGAGGAAAAGAACAATCTCTACAAATGTTTTCCTTAATTATATCGTGACAAATTTAACCTACAAATCAGCAATGTGGCTGCAATATTAAATAATACGTAATACTAAATGTCTGATAACAGCCTACACTGATGCTGCTGCACCTGGCATACAGAAACACAGAATTACACCTAGTGGGTCTATAAAGATACTCTGGAAAGACAGAAAGATCAACACTATTATGGGTGCAACTTGTAAATGAGTATACAACCTATAAGTCACCATCAGCAGATTAGACTTTTAAATAAAATTTTCACTTGAGTAAAATTAAATGCTAACCTAAGCTCAGTGACAGATAATTTCTAAATATTTTCACTAATAAAGAACAGCTGGCATCTTCACCATATCTGTGGTCATAAAGCAGCTTCACCTCTTCCTAAAACATTCCAGTATACACTTGTCCTTATCCAAAGATAAGTTATTTTTTTCTTCTGTGTTGGCCAAAACTAAGAAAATAAAAATAACAGATTGGGGGTGGGAGGCAGAATTCTTTATTCCAAGATTGCTACTTTATATCAAGAATGCATTGATTAGAAGTGCAAAATAAGCAAGAACTCATTATAAATGTTGAGGATTATTGCTTTAATTACATGCCCTAAAACATACCTACATATCATGACTTACTATATGTTGTATCAAGCTTTTAGTTTACTTGCTACATGGCCATTAGGCCAGCTCTAAAAAATGTTTACCATCCAAATAGAAATTCATTAGGGAATACTGAAAGGTTTATGGTTAGTTCTGCTCCTAAGATCAACCTGAAGAGTTTTAATCCAGTTAAAAAAAAAAAAATAAATAAAAAAAAAGGAAAAAGGTGGGATGACCTATTATCAAATAATAATAGAGTCTCTAGTTTCAATAGTAACTATTCAGTAAACAAATTTTCTGTCAGGCCTTGCACATCTATGTATAATAATTTTTCATCATTTTAACAGAAGATAATATTTACATTAAGTAAATTTACATTAAGTAATATTAAATAATATTTACATTAATACATTGTGTTCAAAATGTATTAAACACTAAGGACATTTAAATAAGGCCTAATTATAACAGTTTAATAAATGTTCTTACTTTTTAGAACATAAAAATTAACAAAAAAACCTCTTATGCTTTAAAATCTTTGTAAGTATGTACGGCTTTTATAAAAAATGATAACCATTTATTGTTTAAAACAATTTTAAAAACTGAAACTCAGCTCAGGTCATGATCTCACAGTTAATAGATTTAAGCCACGTGTCTAGCTCAGAGCTGGCAATGCAGATCCTGCTTGGGATTCTGTCTCCCTCTCTCTGCCCCTCCCCTACTTGAGCTCTCTCACTCACACAAAATAAATAAACATTCTTTAAAAAATAAAAATAAAAATGTGCTATTTCTTACTTTCACCTTAGAAAGCAAAAAATACACTAAATATCAGTGTTACCCTTTTGTTTTCAAATCAATTTAAATATGGAAAAGTATTTAAACAAAGAAAAAAGATTTTGGTTGGGTTTATAAACATTTTCATTTCTAAAAATGTGAAAATGTAAGGGATTAACTGATTTCATTTGCCTGCCACAGCAATATAATTATAATGACCTCAAATGCAAATGAAAAATAAGGCCTACATATTTTTAAATATCTGGTATATTTTCATCAAAAATATGTAAAACAACAAGGGGTGCCTGGGTAGTTCAGTTGGTTGAGCATCCGCTCTGTCCCTCACTCTCTGACCCTCCCCAATTTGTGCTCCCTCAAAAATAAAACATTAAAAAAAAAAAAGCTAAAATTAAAAATAAAAAAAAAACAAGTAAAACAACAAAAGCATCAATCAACATTTTTTTTCACCTCTCCCTAATATTTTAAACTTGCTTCTTTCATTCCACTCCAAGATCTTTGGAGTAGAAAAAATTTGAATACAAATTTTAATTTTTTTCAATGTTTATTTATTTTTGAGAGAGAGACAGAGACAGAGCATGACCAGGGGAGGGGCAGAGAGGGACACACAGAACCTGAAGCGGGCTCCAGGCTCTGAGCTGTCAGCACAGAGCTCAAAGCGGGGCTCAAACTCACAAGCCATGAGATCATGACCTGTGCCCAAGTCTGATGCCCAACCAACTGAGCCACCCAGGCGTGCCTTTAATACAAATATTTTTAAACAAAATAAAGTATACAAATTCAGATTTTTAATTTATTCCAGAAAATATATTTTCAATGCATTTAAATATTTAAGTAATATTAGGATAATATATAAAAGCCCTCACTAGAATATAAAACTGACTTTTTTCTTAGAGAGGACAAAAATTAATACTGAAGAAATTACATTTATAAGACCTCTTTCTCATCTAAGTCTTTTAGGAAACACATTTTGTGAAGTTTAAACTTTCTGGCTGTTTAGATCTACAAAAAAAAATGTTTTTTTCAAAGAACAGTAACTACCTCGATATATAAACCATCCCTCACCTTACTGTCTTCTTGTCATTCATTTTTTGGACAGCATTTTTCCTCCCCTTTTTCTCAAAGAGAAATTCCTCTAAATCATTGGTACCTGTCAGCCACATCCAGTTCAGTTTGAACCTTCAACTCCTATCTCACCTATATAGAGCAAATCTGAATCCAACCAATCAGATGAACAGCAACTGATTCCAAGAGCCAAGTTAAATACCAAAATATATTCTAATAAACACCAGTATGCTATACATCCCGACAGTGATTAGTGTTTAAAAAAACAAAACAAAATACACACACACACAACAACAACAACTAAGCATTCAGTACTTATTTGAGACGCTTAAAAGAAAGTTTTAATACCAGAACCTGGACCTAGGCTTTCAACTTCATTCAAACGAACTGGTTAAAAAAAAAAAACAAAAATAAACTGTGTCATTATATTAGACCAAACCAACCAAGGCATAAAGACTATTAAGTACAAAATGGTTTTCCAAGAGTGATTTTTTATTTTTTTTTTCAACGTTTTTTATTTATTTTTGGGACAGAGAGAGACAGAGCATGAACGGGGGAGGGGCAGAGAGAGAGGGAGACACAGAATCGGAAACAGGCTCCAGGCTCTGAGCCATCAGCCCAGAGCGTGACACGGGGCTCGAACCCACGGACTGTGAGATCGTGACCTGGCTGAAGTCGGACGCTCAACCGACTGCGCCACCCAGGCGCCCCCCAAGAGTGATTTTTAATTCTCTCCTAGTAACCAATTTTCTGTCAGATTTTTATCATTATACAACTGGAACCATTTCCATAAAGTCACCCACCAATAAGAAATTACAATTCTTTTGGAAATCTCCCTCCAGGCCTCCGTACCCCCCTTGGCAAGAACTCAATCTACCCCCTTCTACTCCCTAAGTATTCAGTTTCTTTCCCGAAGTAGAAATTCCATAAATATTACAATATTAAGAACTAAATTTTAATGAATACATATCAGAGGAAATGAAAGAACATTAACTCCCATTCAAACCTTCCTTAAAAAAAATGTTTCCAAGTTATATTTTTAACTTCCCCCATGATTCTCTTTAAAAAAGACGAACACAAAATCTCTCTGCTAATGACTTTATTCATGAATCTATAATGTAGCTCAAAATAGCAAAGAACATTCTAAAAATTCAGATTAATATTTATCAACCAAATACATGAGAGAATACACCTACTTTTTATATAACTAACACAAATGTCTAAAACGCACATGTGAGAGTACACTCTCCACTTTGTGTAATTTCAAAGTAATGAAGATTTGCTTAATACAGTTTGCCAGAAAAGCTCATTTACGTGGTCGAATACATAGAATTTAAAAGCAATCAGACATAACTGATAAAATAACCATCTTACGGTTAATCTTTTAATAAAGTGCTACTTTCATACCGAAAAAAAGAAATAAAATTAAAAATTCTGAAATGTTGAATCATCATTCTGGAAGTGTTAAAATTTTTCTTTAGGGTTCACTACGTTCATCACATTCATACATCTCCAATATGAGACCATACACACTATTTTGCAATCTAAAAAAATCCTTTAGTTCACAGATTATTTCCTGGAAGTTAAAAATTACTACATGATTGCTAAATGAAGCTTTTCGTGATACATGTGTGTATTAGCCACAGTGATTTTTCATTGTTTTAAACATGATCTTTGGTTTGAAGTTGTCCTGGATGGACTAGATGGATGGCTGTGGTTAGTGAAATATTTATAAAACAGCACACTAGCTTCATTTAAACCACACCAGTAAATTGGGTCAGTGGCCTAAAGGCAAGGAATGGCACATATTCAGCATCTGGCAAAAGGAGTTGCCCGAATCCATAAGTGACGTGGTCAGGAGTAAAGAAAACCGGTGCAGCTGAGGTTTTCACCTCCTTTCATCAAAGACGTCTATCAATTTATTAACAGCGTTATCCACTGAGGAAATCAGTTGGGAAAAAATCTAATTTGAATGAAGGCACATGGGTGCAAATCTTAAACAGATAAGTAGGACCAACAAAACGGCTTAAATAAGTATGGGTGTGTCCACCCCATCCACCCACACACATCTCACGTCTGAGGTTGAGTTTCATCACTGCATAGACTGCACCACATGGAAAACTCTATGCCTATGGGCATATATATGAGATCAGAACTAGCTGGTGGTTTTCCAGAAATAATGAGACTTTCAGTGATGCAAAAGTTGGCCTTTCCCTCAAATGAAAGGTTTTAAATTAATAGCAAAAGACTACAATAACAATGGAAACTGTAAGAAGTCATAAAGTTAAACCTCAGAAAGTTTCAATTTCATAGCTGAAGGCTGCTGATGATTTCTTGTCTCTCTCCTTGAATAATCACATGCAAATGCCTTTTAGCAATGGCAGCATTCAAATCCCACAAAAAATCAAGCAGTGCCCCCTTAAGAAGCACCTCCATTGGCACAAACTGTAAAACCTGCTGGGGTGCATCAGAATTCAGCAAAGAGCTCAGCAAGTCATTCACATTCTGCAGATACTGGAAAACTGGATTCGGAAGGTCCTGGTAACCCACACACAGCAGGACTGCACAGGTCTTCAGGGGCTCAGAGGAAGTGGGACAAGAAAATGTGATGAATCTAAAACAATTGTGGAGTACAAAAATCAAACCAGCCATAAATCTCGTAAAACAAGAAAGTACAGGCAAAATCATAGCATCTCCTGTCTGAAGCTGCTGCAACGCACGTAGAAAGCAGTCCAAAAACAGCTGCTGGTAAAGTGGGTCTCCATCATGAAGCAACGAACAGCTGCAAGTCATGAGTTCCGCTGGTTCCAAGAACTGAACTTCCAACGGTATATGCGTTTTGATGTCACTGAGGGTTGGAAAGCCCACAAGCAGGCACTTTATTCGGTTGCTGGGTTCTACGACCTGCTCATCCTGAAGGCACTTGGTAAGGCTAAACAACTCAGTAAATATCAGTTCTTCAGTAAAAATATGACAAGAACAATAATCCTGCTGTTTGGGCCAGAACTTGGAATCCAAATTCAAGGCTCCTCCTAATGACTTTTCAATTGCTTCATTAAGAGCCTTTAAAATTTCACCATCACAGAAAGGAGAACACTTTACCTTTGGCAGTTTCTTTCCCTCTAAAATATGCCATAAGTGACACTCAAGACTGGAAGCTGTCCCTTCTAAGAGAGAACTCTGCCCAGAATGATACACAGCATGTTCTTCCGCCCAACTATTAAAGTATCCTTTGGCCACCTTATCTTTCCATGAAAGGGTTTCCAGCATTTTCCTTTCATTATAGGTTTTAAAATATCTGTTCCTCTGCCCAAACCGTTTTGTATTTGTACTACAACCAATACTAGATTTTTTCACTAGCCAATTATTTCTGGAAAGAGGCTTCAACTGAAACTTTTCCATAAAATATTGAACAGCACAGTCCCTTAAAGTATTCAGTTTTGTTTGTTCCCCTTTTCCCATGCACTGAAACAGACGAATGTTCTCAGAAATAGTCTCTAGCTGGTATTTATGAAAGAACATACAACATTCTTCATGCCTTTTAAGAAAAGATTCGGGAATCACATGATGGGGAAAGAGAGCTTTCTGGGTCATTTCAGTCCCAAAGTTCAGCACCATCTTAGATAACAGAGGATGGATTGCCTCTCTTCCCTTATAACGGAGACATACCACATAGACTTCTGAGTTTCCTGCCTTGCTAGTAGCAGGTTTGAAAACATGGACTTGGTCAAAAGAACAGTTTAGCAGGTACATCAGGTTTATGGAACAATGTTCAAACAAAGTAAACATCTTCAGAACAAAAGAGCCACCATTTCCAAGAGTCGTCAGAGCAGTGACAACTTCACAGTAATGCAAAGAAGAGACTAAAGCTTCTTGTTCACCTGGGTTTCCTTGGCAATCAAAACTCCCATCTGCAGTGATCAAGTGAATGGTAGCCATGTTGCTTATGAAATTCTGAAGTCCAGTCAGATATTTCAAGTTCATGATATCACCGGTGTTATCTGGACCAAAGTACCACCAATGCAAGGTATTTGCTATAAGTCGGTCATCCATAATCATCATAAGATTGTCATTTGCTTCATGGTATGGATTCAAAGTATTAGCTACCCAACTCCAATCACAGGGGAACCGATGGGATTTTAAGTAGTGATTGAGACTAGCTATAAAAGCTCCAGGAGCTTCACAAAGGTGTAGGGAATTCAGTTTTCCATTCTGAAAAGCTTCCTGTGGAATAAGTGGAAAGCTGCACAAAATTTCATGAAACTTACACCACGCTTGAGTACAAAGTTCAGCATTCACAGATTTTTTCACATGAGAAATTATTTTTCCAGCTTTATTGGTAAAAGCAGTGTGTTCATGCCACTCATCCAATTTCTTGTCACTCAGTAGGTTTTTTACTTCATTTAGGGAGTTCTTCAAATCAAGCAATGCATTAAATTCCGTGTGGTCACAAGTGAAAATCTCACCAGGATCTGGTAATTGCCACTCGTTATTAAGTGGCTTGCCATAAGAAAAGTTCTTGGCAAAGAGTTCAAAAATGTCAGCAACAACATCTGGGCTGAATGTCTCAGGACTTGAACCCAGGGGTGGTTTTCTGCACTTACTCATTTTCAAATTAAATTAAAATCTAGAAAAAGAAAACACACAATTAAATGAATCAAATTTATTAGAGAGTGAAATCTCATCCACAGCAAATCGGATCACACTCATGACAAACTGCATAAAATGGGAAAGCTAATGTCAGCACATGCTGTTACATAATGAGACAATTTGGAATAAAGAAAAAGTAAAGGCTTTCATACCCAACAGATCTGAGCTCAATTTCCAACTCTGCAACTTAGAGCTACAAAGTAGCCTTGGGAAAATTACATCTTTGAGTCTGTTTCTTATTTAGGGTATCATTTTTTTTAGATAAGGATAGAACATGCTAGCATATAAAAAGCATATACCGAAGAATAATCATCAGTGATGGCAGCTCATATTGCCATATTAATCCATCTAGCTCCTCCCAAAGTTTTCCTCTACCCACATGGCCCCAAACACACTCTCAGACTAAGATTCAGCCCTGAACACCTTTGATCAAGCTTTAACAAGCGACTTTTAGTTTTTGTTGTTTAAGTTTTTATTTATTTGAGAGACAGAGAGAGAGAGAGAGAACATGCACACAAGCTGAGGAGAGGCAGAGAGAGGGAGAGACAGAATCCCAAGCAGGCTCCATGCCATCAGCACAGAGCCAAATATGGGGCTCAAACTCACAAACTGTGAGATCATGACCTGAGCCAAGCTCAAGAGTTGAATGCTTAACCAACTGCACCACACAGGTGCCCCAAGACTTCCAGGTTTTTAGTTCCTTCTGAATCTCACCTCCTTCCAGGAGAAGATTCTACACCTAAACCCAGTACTAATATTGCTACCAGACGTCTCTGCCACCACACACTTATTTACCTATAAGGACTGTCAAATACATCCTTCATCCAGATCTCACACTCTTGCTAAAACATGCACTTTGGTGGTGCCAAATCACTTTCATAAGCCACCTACTAACACTCATCATCATACTGCTTGTTGACTGTGGTGTACTTGACTGGTCAGTCTCTATTCAGTTCAATGCTGAAAGTGAACTATAGTTCAACCTGGCATGTCCATAAACTAGATTCTTGTCTCATCTGGTCAGACAGCTCCATACTTCGACTATATTTCTTCTTGCCACGTAACACACTTTGGGGCACCTGGGTGGCTCAGTCAGTTAAGCATCCGACTTTGGCTCAGGTCACGATCTCATGGTTCATGAGTTTGAGCCCCACATCAGGCTCTGAACTGACAGGGCAGAGCCTGCTTGGGATTTTCTCTCTCCCTCTCTCTTTGTCCCTCCTCACTCACGCTTTGTCTCTCGCTCAAAATAATCTTAAAAAAAAAAAAAAAAAAAAAAAAAACAAACAAGAAAAGTAACACACTTCGATAGAAGATCTTTAAATCGAAGAAATATTCGCAATGAATATACAAATTACAAATAGTCACCCTATATCTTGTGGTCTAACACTAAGAAACCAAAAACACTTGTCCAATGGAGAAGGAAAGAGATATAAGAGAAAGATATATGGCCTGATGGCATAGTGTTGGGTAAAGTCATAAATTCCAGCAGAGACAGCTATGAGTATTACATAGTACTTGTCAGCTCAATGTTAATCAATAGGTGTTTTAGTTCATAAGTTCCACATTTCTCAGCATATTCAAAAAGAATATAAATTTGTCAAACAAAAAATTCACAACCACTGTCCCACAAAAAGCCAACATTTGATAATTAAAATGGGAAATAAATATGAGCTAATGCCACAATAAATACAATAATATCCAGAAGACTGTATTCTATTAGCATTTACTTTGTACTGTTCTTTTGGCAGTTCTTTTAATATATTGTTTAAATTATTTACAATCCTGTCTATTCTACTAGCTTGTAAGCTTCTTGAAGTAACAAGTATCTTCTTAGTCATGTTTGCCACAGTATATTTGCCATACATGTAAATTACAGCTAACAGTCACATGTGTCCATCAATATCTTTCTCTCAAAGCTTTTTTTTCACTGTTAGACGCTGTATTCAGACAAATTTCTGAAAGAAGGCAAAAATGGGGCATTGATACATTCACTAAAATCCTAAATGAAAGCAAATGAAAGTTTATTACAAGTTATTCTATCTTAATTTACACTGTGCTTACTGGAAACTACAACCATGTTTAGATTGCAACTATATTCTACTTTGGAAAAAGTCTGACTTTAGTCATTTACTTCACATATTAATTAATGGCATAAGGAAGCTCTGAAATGTTACCTAATACATAATACTTTCACATGAGAAAAACTAAAGTGATTCAAACATTCCATTGTTCTTCCTGACTACACCGGTGGTACGCAAATCAAGATTATGTCTTATATATTTATATATAAAATACATATCTTGAATATATATATATACACACATACACACACACACACACACACACACACAGATCTTGAAAAATATGTATATATGTAAACAATGAATTTTCAGGTCTATAACCCGAACTTTGTTTCCTCCTATCAAATTCCCAGAATCCAACCACTTCTCACCCACCTCCAGATACCAGCTTCCTGATTGCAGACAGTGTCAACTCTCTGCTGGATTACTGCCATAGCCTTCTAACTGGTCTCTTCTATCTTTGCCTCCTTTGGCTCCCAAATAAATGCCACAGTCCTTACAGTAGTCTACAATGCTCTAGAAGATTTCTGCCTTCCAGCCCCAACCTATCTCTAACCTGATTGTCTACTATCCCTCCAATTCATTCTGCTCCAACCACATAAACTTTCTGTTCACTGAAACACGAGGCACACTGCAACCTGCAAATCCTTTGCACTGGTCAATCCCTCTGCCTGGAATGCTCTTTCTTCAGAGTACCTGCATAGCTAACTCCCTCACCTCCTTCAAGTATTTAATCAAGTGTAATTTTTCTATGAGACCTACCCTGACATCCTAATTGCATCTTGCACTAACAATGGTAAAGGTAAGGATCTTGCTGTACTTCTTTTCTTTCTGTGACACTCTTTTCTTTCTAACATTAAATCTGCTTATTGTTTATTATTGTCTTCCCCAAACTAGAATCTAAGCTCCACAGGGCAAGGATCTTTTGTTTTGGTGACTCATGTATCACCCCGAGGTTAGAACAGTGCTTAAGGTACACAGTAAACCCTCTGTGAGTATCTAATAAACAAACGTATATTATACTTAGCACAAACAGCTCTCCTCTAGGTTCCGATTATGAGTCATAACTTCAGCACTTCAATGCATGAGCAAAAATTTAAAAACAAACAAAACACGTGGTTTACAGACTACAGGAAAAAGTTTCCAGTATGTGTTCCTCTGGCCCTTCCATTAAGCACTGCTTAGAACTTTCTGGCATCATAGTTCTGAGGGTCAGTATTACCATTCTTAATTTACATATTCGAGTAGAAAGTCATGCCCGCCCCCCCCCCGCCCCGCCCAAAGCCACAAAGGAAAATACCTGCAAAATCCGTGGGCCTGACACAAACCCCACAAGATCTTATCAACAGGCTCTCTTCAATTAACGCTTACAAAGTAGTTTTACAACTGTTTCTGGCAACTCCTCTTCCCAGCAACCGTGAAAATAATAGAGTGTATCTAGCGCTTTACTTTGGGCCAGGGGCAGCCAAGATCTCGTTTCACCTGATGGGACTGAGTCTCAAGCTATATTCAAGCGGCCCGAGCCCTCCTGACGTGGAAGAACCTCAGTCCCAGGCCCTGCCTCATCCTCTGGAAAGTCGAAGGAAGACCGGGCTCGGAAGCCGGGTCCGATTACCTTCGCTTACGCCCACCTTGGCTCCCCGACTCTAGAGAGGTAGCGCTTCACTCACTCTCCCCACTCCAGGAAACCATCCTCCACTTCCGCTCCCGGAGCTGCTTCCCGGAACGGTCGCTCGTAGGGTATACGGCGCCCCCCGCCGCAGCGAAGGCAGGTGGTGCGCCGGAAGACAAGGAAGGAAGCCCGGACCCGCCCTCTCGACACCAGGACCCGGAACCCACCTCCAGGCCGCGCCGCCGCGCGTCGCCGGCCGACGACGGCCCGAGAGCCCTGAGAGACGCACTGCGCACGCGCTTCACAGCCGAGTGGGGCTAGCGTCACGCGTCAACGTTACGTACGCCGGCAACTCTAGCAGTGCCCGGGCCCAGGCTCTCTATAGGTTTCTTTTCTCGCCAAGTCCGGAGGAGGAAAGGCGTCTATGGCAACGGAAGCCGCTCGAGGAGGCGGGGCGTCATTTGGCCCCGCCCCTTCGGTGGAGATGTGGGCGGGGCAAACCCGTCCGAGACACTCCGGCTCCGCCCACCCAGACCCTGAGTCGGGAAGGTTTTCCAAAGTTATTAGGCGGAAGTTGGTTCCTAGTACACAGGCTGAGTTAAAACTGAGACTCGAAAGACAATATGAGGTTAGAAGCCAAACTAGGCCAACTGCGACGTAATACTCTGTTATAACATATATATGTTTATAAACCAGAAAGGAAAAAACAATCTCAAAGGAAAATTAGACAAAAATTCAAACAGACCATCTAAAACCAGTAAAATAGCAACTAAGGATGTACAAAACTTTTTAGCCTATTATAAAAGAAAGACATGGAAATGAAAATAAGTTTCATTTTCACCTGATTTAGCAAAGATTAAAAAGATTCATAATGGCCACTATTGGTGAGAATAAGGAGAAACCGGTTTATATACCGGTTGTGCATGGGGGTAAACATTGGCATAAACTTCACAGATGGCAAACTTTAAAATGGCCTTGCACCCCAGCTGGGCAATTCCCGCTCCAAGAAATTTATCCTTAGGAAACGCAACATAACCAGCCCTCACTTTGGACAAAATATTCATCTCCTTAATATCAACAATAACAAAAACTCTAAATGTTGACTTTAAGGGAATTAATTAAATTATTTGTGATACAGGGGTGCCTGGGTGGCTGAGTCGGTTAAGTGTCCAACTTTGGCTCAGGTCATAACCTCACTGTTGTGAGTTCAAGCCCCCCCACTGGGGGGGCTGACAGCGCTGAGCCTGGAGCCTGAAGCCTGC